CTCTCCAATGGCTAAATCCAATAGTCTTACTAGAGTATCCACCTTAATCAACCAATTTATAGTGATTTTCATCCTTTAATTTATTTATTACTCAAGAAATAGCGTATAATGTATGATCCGCTGCTAAAATGAGGGAAGAAAGAGGGTCCGAATATTTACAAGACCCAATTGGTGTGCAAAACCTTCCTCAAATTCATAACACAAATGTGGAATCTTCATCTACTCGTAAGGATCTTGATAAAACGATGAAGATCGACTAGTTTTCAAACAATTTTCTATTAGCTTGTTTTGTATTTATAGTTCTTTTTTAGAATTTCATATTCTTCTCAATTTATATTCAAATCACTATGTATACTATCAATATTGTATTTATTAAAAATTTCATGTTGAATAGTTTATGAATCTTGTATTTGTCCCTAATTTTATTCATCCAAAGGTATGACAACTAGTTATGTATTCAATTTATAGGGAGAACAACTTTCTATTAGTTTATTTGTGTTCGAATATAAATACAAATAATATACATATTGGAATGAATATGACTTAGAAAAAAAACAAGATATGAAGAGAAAAATAAATACACAGTGAAAAAATATATGAATACAACTATATTTCTTAAATAGATACATATTTATTTGATATTCATATTGGAATGAATACAAACTAATAAAGAAATACAAGTTTCATTATACAAAATACAACATGAAAACTAGAATGAATACTTATACAAACGGTATACATATTGGAATAAATATGATTTAAGCAATAATAAAAAATTCTAAAAAATAAAACAAATACACTATGAAAAAAGTATTCTAAATAATTGATAAAACTATAGGTGTTTAAATTTCTAAATTAAAAAAATTAAATTTAATAGATAAAACTATAATGCATTATCAAAAAGTTTCATAACAAAAATTATTGAGAATTAGATACTAAAATTTTTTATTGTAATATTTTCATAAAAATAATTAGTGAAAAGTTGATAACGAAATTTTATAGATGTGGTACTTCTTTAATTTTGTGATTTTCATAACAATAATTACTGAAAATTTGATATTTATTTTGGTTGATAAAAGTGTTTAGAAAAAAATTAAGAAAGTTGGATATTGAATTTTTTTAGAACAATGGAGAAAGACATATTTTTAGAACATGATGTTAAAAGAAGAAAGAGATGAAAGTTAGTGTATTTTGATAAATTGTAATTGATGAGACTTTTAAGCATTTGTTCCTTTTTTCAAATAATTATCTCTCCTAAATTCCTCCAATCTGTTATATAAAAATTGTATTCTTTAAAAAAAAGAATAAGAACATAAATAAGATACATAACCAACTTAAATTTTGACATTTTTACTAAATATTAAGTGTTGTTAATGAACCCTCTTAAATATTGAAATATTGACATTTTATTTTTTTTTAAAATAATAATACAAATAAAGTAAACGAACCAAAAGTACAAATAAAAATATATATCAAAAAACATTATTATATATTATAAAGATAAAATGAACACGTAAAAAACTAGGTGTTCACGGCATGCCCTTTTTGCTTGAAAACATGAGGAGTTTTCAAGCAAAGAAAGTGAACGAACTGACCAATTTTTGATTTTTCAAAACTACGATGAAGCCATTTTAAATAAGATCATTGAAACTTACTTCAGAGTCTGTCTACATATATTTGATTAAAATAAAATCAGGTCAGTGTGGTTCGAGAAACTTTTATAGCCGAAACTATCAGAAACGGTGGTCAAAAGATTGCTTCATATTTCTTGTCATCATCTGCTGCCTATAGTTACGAAGAAAATAGCTAAAGAACTATGTGTCTCTACATTAAAGAAGTTACAACATCATGTTTTAACTTGAGTTGACGTTTGAAACTCAAAACTCAAGATCAAAAAATGAAAAATCCAAAAGGATGTGTTTCTTTTAGGGAAGAAGAAAATATGGGAATCTTGAACTAGGACGTATAGACCAAGAAAGAAAAGGAGGAATAAGCGTATTGTCCTAAGAGTTTCAAATAAGACATATTGTCTTTGTAGATTGTCATAAGATTGGGTGTATTACCCAAATGTAAATATGGTGTGTTTAACCCGTGAAAAGTGGTGCCTATGGTGTGTATTGCCCATAAATAGAGGATTAATGCGTATTGTATGTGAATAAGGACTGGTGCGTATTGCACATGAATTCAGATTGGTGCGTATTACACGAAATTCAGACTGGTCCTTATTGCACATGAACAAATGATGATGCGAATTGCCCATGAATAAAGGTTATGTGCGTGTTTCATGAAATTTAGACACATGCGTATTGCCCGAAGCTCTCGAATTGAGAGGCAAGAATGGAATAGCATGAGATGAAACAACAAACATGTGAAGACTTTGGAGAACTTCCTTTTTGTGATGTTTCATTTTTGACTTGTGATCTTGCATTTTCTTTTGTTCATGTGTTGAGCAAAATAATATGAAAAGAATTTTTTTTTAGTTTAAAGTGGTGGTTGGTTTGTGTCCTTGATGCTTTGATGACTTGACCGTACTCCTGACTAATTTCTCCTCCTATACTAAGAAGTCTTTATTGAACAACCTTTGAAGTTTTTTTTTGTCAATACAGGTGCCTTGATCTTCGGTACTACCAAATATCTTGGTGTGACTAAATGTCCCAAAGAATGAATTCTTCTTTTGAATTTTTTTCATGACCTAAGAGAGTATATCAGGTTCCTTCACGAGTTTCAATGAAGATTTGAGGCATTTTTAGTCCTTGCCCGATGGTATGTCAACTCAGATTGGATCAAGAAAGACTATGAACTTAAGGAAGGACATTCCATTCTAAAGAAAAATGATAAAGAGAACTTATCATTAGGCATATGTCGACTTTGATTGAACCATGAACTGCACTTTGGACTCGACCCCTGATTCTTTTGAGTTCTTTAGTTCTCAAAATCCGAGTCATTGTCAATTGATCTATGTGTCCTTCATGCAAAATTGTTAATAAATGATCATCTTTGCAGATTTATTCCAATGATGTTTTTCCCTTTATCTTAAGGTGCACGTAGGATTTTCACCAGTAAGATCTTCTCTTTTGTTGTCTTATGGGGCCTATGAAGGTTTTCACCGATAAGATTCTCTCATTTCAATTATTGTTTTAACTTATGGTTTCCCAAGGGTTTTCAATCATAAGTTTTTTTCGAACAATGTTGCCCTTGATAATCAATAGTGTGTGCAAGACACATTGAATTTATAATTCTTAGAGTTGATCAAACTGTTGATTGCTAGAATAAAATTATAAACAGAATTACAATCTGACACTATTCTATAAAAAAATAAAATAAAAAAATGCCCTAATTTTCTATAAATACTGGAAGACTGACTTCTTTTGGTATGATCGAACCCCAAAGGGTTGACTACGTATCCTTTCGGAATCAGGTCAAACGTAGATCAAATTTTCAAAGAATGGATTTTTTTGGGAAGAGGTTTCTTTGTTCTTCCAACCCTAAACTTGTCGTAGTACATTAAAAGGCATTAAATGTAGTTTCTTTTGACTGCATCCGCATTAACAATTATGTCTGTTATTTTTTCCTGTACATCAGTAAGGTGCAGAACTCTTTTGGACAGTACTTCCTTGACAAGATATGAACCTTGCCAATTTTGGCAAACTTTCCCTTAGCACCTTCTTGGTGTGGGAGAATGCATTGTAAGACCAGTTGACCTACTTCAAAGTGTCTTGGGTGCACCTTTTTGTTGTATGGACGAGCCATCCTTTGCTGATAAAGCTGACCAAAACAGATGATCGTCAATCGTTTCTCATCTATTAATGTAAGCTACTCTAGTCGGGTTTTGACCCAATCAGTATCTTCAGTTTCAGCCTTAACAATGATTCGAATAGATGGAATTGCACTTCCACCGAAATCACAGCCTCAGTCCGATACACCAGCAAATAAGGAGTTGCACCAATCGAGGTGCGCACTGTTGTGTGATATCCTAAAAGTGCAAATGGTAGATTCTCATGCCATTGTCTGGTGCCTTGAACCATCCTTCTGAGAATTTTTTTTCTATTCATGTAGCTTCCTCCACAACACAATTAGCTTTTGGTAGGCACGGAGTAGAATTGTGGTGCACAATTTTGAACTGCTTACATACCTCCTTCATCAGATTGCTATTAAGGTTTGCAACATTATCTATGATGATAGCTCTTGGCATACCAAATTTACAAATGATGTTTGAATGGACAAAATCCACGACCGCCTTCTTAGTTTCTGCTTTGAAAATGATCGCCTCCAGCTATTTGGTAAAGTAATCAATTGTGACCAAAATATTTCCATGTCCAATAGAGGTTTTTGGCTCAATTGGTCCGATGACATCCATTCCCCAATGCAACAAAGGGACAAGGGCCGTCCATGGGGTGCAACTCTGAATGAGGTGATTGAATGAGATCACCATGAATTTGACATTAATGACATTTTTTCACAAAGCAAAATAAATCTTGTTCCATGGCAAGCCAATAATACCCTGCCTTGAGTATTTTTTTTGCAAGGACATATCCATTCATGTGTGGTCCACATACCCCAACGTGTACTTTATTTATGATCTTCTCAGTTTCTTCAGCACCCACACATCTTAATAAGTTCAAATCCAAAGTTCGTTTATATAAAACTTCCCCGCTCAAAAGGAGACAATTAGCCAGACGTTTAATAGTTCATTTTTAGCTTCCATTAGCATGTTCGAGGCATCTCTCTGTCTTTAAAAATTTCTTGATATCTGAGTATCATGACTCACCATGTGGTTCTGCTTCAACTGTATTACAATAGCCATGTCGGTCCCGAACTTTAATCTCCAATGGAGTGATGTAAGTCTTTCCAAGATTCGGAAGCATTGAGGCCAAAGTAGTGAAGGCATCGTCCAATTCATTATGAAATTTGGGTATGAATCTAAACTCGATGGACCTGAACCTTTTTCAAAGATCTTCGACACATAGTATGTATGGAAGAAGCTTGAGGTCTCGAGTTTTCTATTCACCTTGGGCTTGTCGAATAAGCAAATTAGAATCTCCAAACATAATCAATTCTTGCACACCCAAATGTATTGCCATATTTAGACCCATGATGCAAGCTTCATACTCAGTCATATTATTTGTACAAAAGAAACGAAGTCGATCTGTTGTAGGGTAATATTCCCCTGTGGGCGATATTAGAATTTCCCCAATCCCTGTGCCTTTTTCGTTGATTGCTCCATCAAAATACAATTGACAGGCCTGATTTCCATCTAAACCTACTTCCTCGATTGTGTTAATCGCTTCATCTGGAAAATATGTATCCAATGGTTCATAGTTACCATCGACTGGATTCTTTTCAACGTGGTCTGCCAAAGCTTGAGCTTTCATTGCAGTTTGAGTGACATATATAATGTCAAATTTTGTGAGCAAAATTTGCCATTTCACAAGTCTGCCGGTTGACATTGGCTTCTGAAAGATGTACTTCAAAGAATCCATCCTAGATATGAGGTAATTTATGTAGGACAAGACGTAATGCGTTCACTTTTGAGCTACCCAAGTTAGGGAGGAACACGTCCTTTCCAAGAGGGTATACTTGACCTCATAACTAGTGAATTTTTTGGTCAAGTAGTAGATCGCTTGCTCTTTCCTACTTGTGGAGTCGTGTTGACCGAGAACGCACCCAAAGGAATTATCTATCATTAAAAGATATAGAAAGAGATCCTATCAGGTTCAGGCGGGACCAATATGGGAGTATTGAACAAATACTCCTTGATTTTTTTGAAAAGCTTGTTGACAGTCTTCTGTCCATCTGACAACATCTTTATTCAAAAGTCTGAAAATGGGATCACTAGGGGTTGTGGGTTGAGCAATAAACCTGCTGATGTAGTTCAACCTCCCAAGTAGACTCATGACTTTGGTCTTATTTTTCGAGAGTGGTAAATCCCGAATAGTTTTTATTTTGGAAGGATCTTATTCAATTCCCCTTCTACTGACAACAAAACCCAAAAGTTTTCCAGATGGAACTCAAAATGCACATTTTGATGGATTAATCTTGAGATCATATCTTCGCATTCTTCACAAGAATTTTCTCAGATTTTGCGTATGATCAACTTTTGTTTTAGACTTGATGATTACGTCGTAAACGTATACTTCAATTTCTTTATGCATCATATCATGAAACATGGTGGTCATAACCCTCATGTAAGTTGCCCCTACATTTTAAAGACCAAATGACATGACCCTGTAACGTCCCCCATGGAATGGTGAAAGCAGTTTTCTCAGTGTCCTGTTCATCCATCAGGATTTAATGATACCCCGCATAACAGTCTACAAAAGATCGAATATTGTATTTTGCACAATTATCAAAAAGTATGTGGATATTTGGCAAATGAAAGGTGGACTAGCCTTGTTCAAATCCCGACAGTCAACACAAACTCTTGTCTTTCCATCCTTTTTTAACACAGGAACAACATTTTCCAACAAAGTAGTGTAACGAATGGCTTGGATCACATTTGTATTTAGTTGTTTCATAATTTCTTCCTTGATCTTTTCACTCACGTTGGATTTGAATTTCCTTCTTTTCAGTTGGATGGGTGGAAATCAGGATGAGTGGGCAACTTATGAACCACTAAATCAACACCAAAACCTGGCATGTCATCATAAGACCAAGCAAATATATCTCCGTATTCAATTAAATGTTGTATTATGGCCTCTCTAATTTCATGATTGATATGAAGGCTTATTTTTATTTCCTTAAATTCCTCAGTACTTCAGAAATTGATTGTCTTAGTTTTACTAAAATTAGAGTTAGGTTTGTGCTCAAACTATTCCAATTCCCTATTAATTTCCATAAAAGCCTCTTTTTTTTATCATATTCAACCTCTTGACTTGGTGATTCAAGAATAAACAACTCTTTGAAATCTGGAAGGGAATTCCGCATGCATGTCAAGTTATCAAAGCCAGAATTCACAGAACTGAAAATAGAGAATAAGAATTAGGGAGGGGGAAAATACAAAATTTACTGTGAAACTAGAATTTCATTTCAGTAAAATCGAAAAAGGGACAGAAGGGTTGACACTAATACAAAATAATTTGAAATATTCGGATCACAACCTTGACAATAACAAAATACGAAAGATTAGCAAAACAAACTACCACGACTCCTTCCTTATGGGGAAATGAGTGATTTTCCAATTGCTTAGCTCAACGCTTGAGCCCTCGAGCTGCACATCGGCATGACTTGTACCTTTACCAACATGGACCGTGTTTACTTCACAAAACGACTGACTGAGATCCTCAGTAGCTTATTCAATGTCTTCAAGAGTAAATGAAGCTTTCATTTCTGAACTTTGAGCCTTGATAAAAGAATGATAAATATGAGGAATCAGTTTCAGCAACGCCCAATCAGTCTTTTTGTGGTTCTTAGCCTTATCTCCATTTCTCTTACTTTATTGTACTCGAGGCAAGAGGTGACTTGGTTTACTCTAAGAGTAATTGAATCCATGATTCCTTGCGAACATAGTCGCAAACCTTTACCAGGTTGATAACCATATCTGAGAATTGTCGTTGCTACCATTGAAGCGAAAGAATAGAGATATAGTTAGATGATGGGGTCTATTTCCTTAAAGTGATCGACTTATACAACCTCAAAAGACTTGTAAACAACGAAATCACTTCCTTATTTTGCTTCAATGTATGGGATGGATCTCTGTGAATTGGTGAATCATCTTCCCCATGAACAATGATTTCCTGATGGTTGTATTCAAATTTAACAACTTGATGCAGAGTTGATGGGACTGTCGGAGCCATGTGGATCCATGGCCTTCCTAGTATAAATTTATATTATGTGTCCATATCCATTACTTGGAACACAATCATAAAGTCCACTTGTCCAATTGTCATTTTTAATTTGATTTCACCAATGGTATCCCTACTTGAGCCGTCATATGCTCGTACAAATACATTACTGGGATGATTTTGTATAGGTTAACTTTCAAGCTTTACATCTTAGAAATAAGACATATGTCTACCCCTGATACCTTATCTATCATGACCCTCTTTACATAGTACCCTTCACATTTCACTGTAAGAAGCAAGGCTCTGTTATGTCCAACTTCCTCCTTGGGCAACTCATCATTAGTTAAAGTGACTATGTCTGACTTAAAGACGTGCTTGACCATTTTCTCCAACTGATTTACGGTGGTCTCTTTCGGCACATATGCTTCATTCAAAACCTTATTCAACACACGACGATGTTCTTCTAAGTGCAAAAGTAGAGACAACAGTGAAATCTGTGTTGTGATCTTCTTCAATTTTTCCACAATTGAATAATCTGGAACCTTAAGCTTTTTTAGAAATTCTTCATCTTTTTCCTCAGTAACTGCTTTCTTTAATAGTACTTGGATATTTTGAGTCATCCTCCCTTTTCTTAATTTGTTTGGAGGATAACATCTTCCAGAGCGTGTCAACCCTCCTGCTTCATCAATCTCTTCAATAATCTCCTTTCCTTGATAAACCACCGCGATCTTGTTATAGTTCCAAGAGACAACTTTTGAATCAGTTACATGAAGTTGTGGGACGAGCTTAATCAAATATAGGCTCTTTCAACTTTGTCAAGCATTTTTGGTCATGTTGTGTTAATGGAAAACCTTTTGATACATACAAGTTAGACATACCCGCTCAAACTTCGATCCCATTTGAAACCCCCGGGCACACAAAACTTTGGTATCAAGATTAACACTCTCCACACTCAGAGATGCAACTGGATCTAAACTCTTTATTGACTTGTCTTCTTCTCCGATCTTCCTAAACAACTTCCTTATTTTGCCAAGGAGTGTTACTTTTGATCATCACAAACTATACCCACTAAGTTGTGAGATTGAAGTGGGTTATTGGTCAAGTTGGGAGTGTTTTGATCATCTATTACAATGACAAATCCATGATCGATTAGCTTCTCTATCTCCCCCTTCAAGGTCCAATAATTATCATTGTTGTGACCTGGGGCCCTAAATGATACTCACATCTTTCATTGGCATGGAAACCTAGAGCATTTGGATTCAGAAAATGTGGTGGGATACAATCAATCACTCCTATCTTTCTTAACTTTTGTAACAAGCTGCAATAACGCTCTCCTAATGGAGTGAATTTCCTTTTCTGTGCCTGATCTTGAGCATAATTTTGCATAGGAGGAGGGTTGTAAAGGACCTGATAGGTTGGTCGTTGTGGGAGATGGATTTCTTGAGTTGGGGCTCAAAAATATTGGCGATTAGGAGGATGTACATATGACTGAGAATTGAAGATCGTGTGTGGAGATGGAGATACTGGATATTTAGGTGCATAAGGGTAGTAATGCTGAGGATAGATCTGTTGTCCTTAAACTGGTGGATAAGGACAATTAGAATTCCTCTAAGCACCCCCTCAACCCTGATGCTAGCGAAGAAACTTCCTTTTTTCTTTTGTGTTTTCCAAAACTTCCCAAACCACCTTGAATGGCATATGTGGTAGCTTTGATTGTTTCCTAGATCACAATCCTTCCTGTTTTGAGACCAGTTTTGACCATTTCTCCAATTTTGATTGTTGTGTAAAACGGTCTTCCCATTGCGGCTATCAGGTGGTGGAAACAATAAGAACGTGGAGCCTTTATATAGATATTAACCAATTCTCACTCATCTAATGATTATTTAAGCTTAACCCGCTACTTATTTCCTCCATTGATAGCATATTCCCTGAAGCTTTCACTTGGCTTCTTTCTCATATTGGAGAGTGTATTGTGATTTTGCGTAATGTCGACATTGTACTGAAATATTCTAACAAAATCTTGAGCTATCCCATCCCATATGTGCCAGTTGGAGATCTCTTGGTTTATAAACCATTCTGAGGCAACACTAGTCAAGCCATCACAAAAATAAGCCATGATCAATTTCTCTTTACACCCTGCACCCCGAAGTTGATTGCAGTATCTTTTAAGGTGAGCTATGTGATCACTGTTCCCATCATACATATCAAACTTAGGTGTTTTAAACCCAGGTGGCAGGTGGAAATTTGGGAAAATACACAAGTCTATCAGCGACACATTTGTGTTTTCCTCACCCTTACATGTTCTTCATGTGTTGCTCAATGTTTTTCATTTTTTTTCAACATTTGTTTTTACTCTGAGCCTTGAGTGGGCCTCTCAACATCAATGGGGAGTCGAATTGTACAGAGTTAGGACCCTCAAATTCCATCCTAGGAGTATAGTACTACTCTGGATTAATGGTGAACTGTCCCTCTTGAGATGCTCTCTGCGTCACAATCGGTTGTGGGAGAGTATAGACCGGTGTAGTTGTCGTGACAGTGGGATTATTGCTGAATGGCCTGGATTGAAGGCGTGTTGTTGATGTCTCGACCCCACAATTATCAAATGGACCATACTCTGGAGGGAAAAATAAGTTTGATATTGAGACCTGAGAAGATGAAGATCGGATACTAGTGATCTCACGAAAACCAGGTGTCACAAC